CATATTTTAAAAAGTGAACACCATGGCAATAAGCTTTGGAGGCATACAATTGGCACACCATAGCAATCCACTTTAGATGCACACAATTGACACACCATGACAATTAGTTTTAGAGAAATAAAATTGGCACACCATGGCAAACAGCTTTAGAGGCATACAATTGGCAAACTATAGCAATCCGCTTTAGATGCATACAATTGGCACACCTTGGAATCTGCTTTAGATGCATACAATTGGCACACTTGGAAATCCGCTTTAGATGCATACAATTGGCACACCGTGGAAATCCGCTTTAGATACATACAATTGGCATACCATGGCAATCAGCTTTACAGGCATACAATTGGAACATTATGGCAGCTTTAGATGCATAAAATTGACACACTATAGCAATCCGCTTTAGATGCATACAATTGGCACACCATGGCAATCAGTTTTAGAGGCACAAAATTGGCACACCATGGCAATCCGCTTTGGATGCATAAAATTGGTACATCATGGCGATCAGTTTTAGAGGCATACAATTGGAACATCAGGGCAGCTTTAAATACATAAACTTGGCACACCATGGCAATCAACTTTAGATGCATAAACTTGATATATCATGGCAATCACTTTTAGATGCACAAACTTGGCACATCATGGCAATAAGTTTCAGAGGCATACAATTGGCACACCATGGCAATCAGTTTTAAAAGCATATAATTGGCACACCGTGGCAATCAACTTTAGATGCATAAAATTGGCATAACATGGCAGTTTTAGAGGCATAGTTTTGATATATCATGGCAGTTTTAGAGGCAGAAACTTTGCACATCATGGCAATCAATTTTAGAGACATACAACTGCTTACTCACAGACTCAGAATCAGAAGTGCTGTGTCCTGCTCTTTTATTCAGGCACCTCACGTTGATTATCCCAGTGGTAGAACTAATGTAGAGAGGACCCTGGTGCAAGTTTGTTTTCTGGGCCCCCTCTAGTGAAAGTGTAGCCAAAAGGTAGACCTCCATCTGTCGGAGAACTTCAACAATGCTATGCCAGATGGAGATCTACCATTTGCACATCATTGCAGGGTTATATTTGTGAGCAGTGTTTGAATGTAAGCATGTTTTTGTATTAAGTATATGTATGGGTGTATTTGTATGTACTGTTGCTATTGGAATGTAATGGTGTACTTGTTTGTAATGTTTGCTTCTGAATGCAGGGGCGTTTGTAGATCATTTTAGTGTTTTAATGCAGGGGTGTGTTTGTATGTAATATTTGCGTTTGATTGCTGTGTGTGTGTGTGTAGTGGATGCAGTGTGTGTATATTGTTTTGATAAAATTGACATATACATAATGTGTGTTTGAATGTAAGCATGTTTTTTGTATGGAGTATGTGTGCAGTGTATATACACACACACAGACACACAAATACACACATTGACACAGCGATACGCACAATGACACCTAGTTTCCCCCACACAGATACAGACACTCATGTACACAGATACACACATACACACAAATACACACACACACTGACACAAAAGGACACACAGAGACAGGATGTGAGGGTGACAGTGTGGGAGGGAGTGTGTGTACTGGTAACAGTGTGGGGGGTAGTGATGTCGCGAACATAAGATTTTCGGTTCGCGAACGGCGAACGCGAATTTCGGCAAATGTTCGCGAACCCGCGAACTGGGCGAACCGCCATAGACTTCAATAGACAGGCGAATTTTAAAACACACAAGATGTTTCAAGGGGACTAACACCTGGACTGTGGCATGTAAACTCCGATCCGCGGCTGCATCTTGCAGCAGCTTAGTAGATAACTCCCTAATTCCCACGGTATTAGGGAGTTATCTACTAAAAGGCTGAAAGACCTATATTGGTCTTTCAGCCACATTTACTAATACTAAGTAAAGATTACTTAGTATTAGTAAATGATCTGCCCCTACTCGCTATGCAGCGAGTAGGGGCATGTCTAGTAAGCAGTGAGCAGCCAGTGGCTGCTCACTGTAAAAAAAACAAAACAAAACAAAACAAAAACTATTGGCTCCCACCCCTGTGCAACGGGTGGGGCCATTAATTACAATGGGGGGGAGGCCCTACTGTCCTCCCCCCCGGCCCCCACCCCTGCGCGGTGGGTGGGGGCCATAAAAATAATGAGGGGGGGGACCTACTGTCCTCCCCCCTGGCCCCCACCCCTGAGCGGTGGGTGGGGGCCCTAAATTGGAATAAGGGGGGGACCTAAGGTCCTCCTCCCTGGCCCCCACCCCTGAGCGGTGGGTGGGGGCCCTAAATTGGAATAAGGGGGGGACCT